GTATCAGGCTAGAAAGGCCTTAAACTAGCACCACATATACAGAAGTTTGTTACCAGAAGGGCTACCCACCTGGTGAGAAATTATTTGAGGGCACAGCAAGTCATAAAATTGTCTAAGGCATGGAGAGGCTTTTATTTGCTTGATATTGGTGAAAGGAGTGCCAGCACCAAGGAAATCAGATGTCTGAAGTATTTTAATTCTTATAAAAGCAATAATTTAAAACAACGTGTTAACGCTTTCTACTGCGTCTACCTGCTTTTTTTTAAGACTGAAAAATACTAGAAGAACTTGTAAATATTACAAAACTGAGGTAGTTTGCTTAACGTTTCCTTTTAAAGGAAAAAAATACTTCAGAAGGTTGTAAGAGTCCTCAAAAATCCTTTTGATGTACGGGGAGGGAAAGACAGGTAACAGAAACGAGGCACACAAAAAAATGGAGAAGTGGCAAAGGAAGGGCAGAAAACCCCTAATTGAATGAATACAAATAAGTCGAGTGGGGAAAGAATTCTATTTCCCAATTCAAAAGTAAATTCTATTAAATATTTACCCTAGCCAGAAACAATTCTACACCTTAGTTAACTATTTGTAAGAAAAAGCCCTCCTCCTACTTACAGGTTTCCTGCAACAAAGTCAGAATAGTTCCTGACTCATTTTTCTTTAAATTCCTTTATATAACTAATGAAACAAAGTTATGGTAGTTTTAGAGCTAGATCACTTATAGTGATCTCCTTCCCTCTATCAGGTGTCTAAATGCTACTTTCTCTTTAGTTTAAAAAATGGGAAAAATTAAATGAAAGTTATTTAGTAAAGAGAGAGAGAGCCTTTTGTCTCCTAATCTTTATTCTTTAGTGTCCTTATCTGGTTTCAACCCCTCTCACCATTCAACTCTTCACCCCGGAAGGATGACATCAAAGTGGCCAGAGAACTGACTGAATAAAATTGACCTATATTTTAAGTTGAAGATTGCACCCAGAGTAATCCCATAAACCAGTAATAGCAATAATAGCTAGCATTTCTACAGTTATCTAAGATTTGCAAAGTAAAATTCTCTCATTTGGTCCTCAAGAACCTGGGGAAGTAGGTACTACTATTAATCTCCATTTTACAGATAAGGAAACTGAGGCAGATAGAGGTTAAACTTGTCCTGGATCACACAGCTACTAAGTGTCTTTATTTAGACACTTAATTCAGGAATTCCTGAATCCAGTTGCAATCCTCTATTCACTAAGCCACTAATCAAACAACCAACATTTATTAAGCACCTACTGTGTGTCGGGCACACAGTAGCGTTGGGGATACCTGTAGTATGTCCTTCATTCTCAAAAAGGATCATGACATTAGGAAGGTGATGCCATAACTTGCAAGTGAGCTGGATTTAAGTGAAGGAGGGCTGTGTAAAGTCACCAGGTTCCCTCTCTCCTCCAGAGCCATCTGGGTCCAGTGGCAAGATATAGATCAGGATGACTGCAGACAGCCCTGGGATGCAGTGGGAGAACTTGGGCTTTTTAAGCTAAAATCTTTAACATGTCTCAGTTTAATCTCAGTCAATCTAGGCCTAAGACCTAGATTGGCCAATCAGGAGAAAGACATTTTGGCCCACTCTGAGCTTAACCTATGATAATGCTTTGCATGCTCCAGCATAACAGACTTGCTTTGCTTTCTGAATGAACTCAAAATGTCCCTTCCTGTGTCAGCAACTACAAGGCCAGACGAAGCTGACTAGAAGCATTCTTCTGTTTACGACCACCAAGGACAAGGCACCTTGACCCTGACACTATGTTGAATAATGGGACTTTTCTTATCTTGGTATTCTACAGACACATGTTATGTTATGTCATGTTAATGATAGAAGAAACAGACATCCACTTGTATTTACAATCTATCCACTTAAGAAATTCCTTTCTCATATTGTGATTAACACATATGGAGACTATAATTTTGGCCAACATAGACATCCTGAGCCAGGAAGGGAGGGAGGAGTAAGAGGGAATTGCTCTGAGGATAGAAGTTCCCCTTTGTCTATCCATCCTTGGGCTCATTTTCTACAATGAACTTCCATGCATATTGCTATATATGTCTCACAAGCTTTGAAAGAAGTAAACCTGCACAAGCACCTAATTTTGTTTGTCTTTCTTAGAAGGAACTCAGTAATAATAGACAATTGAGACAACACACATTCAGTGAGTAAGACTGGATAAGAAATGAGGCAAAGAATGGCTTCTTTTAACTAGTCCAAAAAAAAAAAAATCAATCTGGGAGGGTTAGACCCTTAGAGTATCTGGCCAAAACAGAAACAATTGCTATTTATACTTTCTCTGAGCCACCGGGGCCCAACGACCAAGTAGGGCTTGTGCTGGGACCTACTGTTGGCAAAGCAATGACAGAAAGGATGATTTAGGTTTAAGGCATGGTCCTTAAGAAAGAAATCTAGCTGGTAAACCCTGAGATATTTAGCAAGGTTTCAGCAATCAAAGTTTATATACCTTTGGGCAGAACACCTGGAGGTAAGGTTATGAAACCCTATGTGGACAGAGGGAGAGGAGGGGGTGAAAGAGTACCTTGCCTATGTAATTACCACTTTAATCTGAATATGAGGTAGAAGTTATACTCTTTGGAAAGGGATCTAGTTTTAAGAAACTTTTAAAACCCCAAATAAAACTTCATTTATAGGGAAAGTATTATAAAGCATGCTGTCTCATTACAGAACTAGAAAATGACTGCAAGCTTCTTCCCTTTACTTTCCATGAAAGAAGAAAATAGTAATTTTAACAAAAACATTTGTAATTATGCCCGGAAGAGATCAACTGCTTAGAACCCAGAGAATGAAAAGGAAGCACAGGAGAACCTTTGTTCTCCTTTAATGGACTGACCATTAAAGGTAAAATGGACTAAATGTGGCTGGACAAGGAATTGCTATCTGTGTAAATACACAAGAGTTTTCTCTCTACCTATCTGTGTGTCTGTCTTTCTGGTGTCAGGTTAAGAAGGAGAATTTACACCATGATTTCCAGAATTCTTCCCTTTGGTCAAGTCCTATGATTTACTCCATTATAGAATGATTGTGAATAGATTCATGTGAAGCCACATTAACAAAGAATGTATTTTAAAATTGTACATACACACAGAGAAGTTAAAACAACTAAATGAGAAGCTAAAGGAAACATTTTTTAAAAACCACGATCCACCTTCTGATTTTTAAAAAAGACCATTTGGCACTGTTGAAGTTGTGAACCGATCTAATCATTCTGAAGAGTAATTTGGAACTATGCCCAAAAAGCAATCAAACTGTGCATACCCTTTGACCCAGTAATAACACTACTGGGTCTGTGTCCCAAAGAGATCATCAGAAAAGGAAAAGGACCTCCATGCACAAAAATATTTATAGCGCTGGGGATACAAAAAGAGGCAAAAGACAGTCCTTGCCCTCAAAGAGCTTTTCAATCAATCAGGGACTGATCGAGATTCTGAAGATACAAGTGCCAAGAATGAAAAAACAAAATATGTTGGAAAGAGAACAGAATAACTAGCACGCACCAAGTTAAGATAAAAAGAATTCTTTCCTTCCACATTGCTAACAAAATTTAAAAAGTCAAATAAGAGCCTGAGCAAACAACCGAGCGTAAATGGAGAAGTAAAATTAGTCACAGGATCATATGATCATATTTAAAGCTGGAAAAGATTTCAGGGGTCCTCCTAACCCAACCCTGGCATTTTATAAAGGAATCTAAGGAAAAATCAAGTAAGCAGCCGCCAAGATCTTCGGATTTATAACTCAGAGTTTTTCTTTCCATGGGCGCAGGCTAGGGGGAATGACTCACCAAAGATGACTACACCTGGGGCGTGTGTAGATCTCTGAATGGGGGAGGGGCTGGGTAGGGGGTCTGCTTCCGGCCAGGCCAAACACAGAAGGGGGGGGCCCTCAGGATCCTAGAGGGGAGGGGAGCTACCCCCTCTGCGCCCCCAGACAGAGAGAGAGGCAGTGTTTAAACTGCAGTCACGGAAATCCAGAGCTGCCATTCTGTACTTCAAGTCACCAGTTTGTGTAGCCCCGGGGCAAGCCAACCTCTCTGGCTCAGTATTCCCAGCTGCAAAATGGGGAGAACAACAGCATCGCCCTCCCAAGGTACTGGTGAGGAACAAATGAGAAGGTCTGAAACCCTTCAAGCGCTATAGACATGCTCATTATTACCATCATCATCATTATTATTACTATTTCAGACTTACAAAGTATTTTTCTCACAGTAACCCTGAGCGAGTATTATATCCATTTTACAGATGAGGAAACTGAGGTGGTAGTTAGGTGGGATAGAACACCAGGCCTGGAGTCAGGAAGACTTGAATTCAAATTTGACCTCAGATATCTGTAGCAGCGTGACCCTAGGCGGGTTACTTAACACTGTTTGCCTCAGTTTCCTCACCTGTAAAAAAGAGGTGGAGAAGGAAAAGGCAAAGCACTCCAGGATCTTTGCCAAGAAAACCCCAAATGGGGTCACGGAGAGTCGGACACGATTGAAATGACTCAACAACAAAAAGTGAGGGTGGGGTGGGGAGAGAGGGGCTAGAACCGAAGCCAATAAATCAAAGCACCTACAGTGCGCCAGCTTGGGAAAGTTTGGAGAGGGGGCGGGTCTCAGGGGCCCAGCCCAGTGCTCACCACAGTCCAAAAAGTGAACCGGCTCGGCCAGGGCGACGACCCCGAGGGTCAGGAGCAGCAGCGCCGAGGCGGAGGAGGAGTAGGCCATCGCCACCGAGGGAGAAGGAGGTACCAAGGAAGCGGCTCCGAGCGGACGGACGCCGGACCGTCGCCAGCTAAAGCCTCCGGGGCGGGGCCGGGCCGGAGAGCCAGCCCACGTGGGCCGAGGCCGCAACCCCCCGCCCCACCCCAGGCTCTGGGGTCACGTGCCTGGCCCCGCCCCGCGGGGAGGGGTCCTTCGCTTTGCCCCCCTCTACGTCTTGACTAATAAAGTTTCTCAGGTTTTGAAACACTCCCCGGACCGGCTTTGTTTTGTCCGGCTTCGCTTCCGGCACGCTGGCCAATGGTATTGTCGCCTCTCGCTTCCTGCTCCGACAGGGCTTGGGGAGGCGGAGCCTCCGCGCTCCCGGGCTCCCTAGCCAAGTGTGGGCTTGGTGGAAGAGGGACAATGGCGGCGTTGGTGGTAGGGCCCCGGGGATGGGCTCTAACGGTGCTGGGCCTGAGGACGGTGAACTCCGGGCTGCGGGGCAGGTACCGGGAGGGGTGGAGGACGCCCCGCGTGCCCTGAGCGGAGCGGGGCGGATGAGGGAGGGACGCGGGCCCTCTGAGAGGACTCTCGGGAGGCCTGCCCCCACCCCCGGCCCAGGTCGCTGGCCGTCTCTGCGCCTGCGCTCACCCTCCTCTCTGCCCCCCCCCAGCAGGCTCCTCCGCACCTCCCGGCGCCAGCCGCTGATGCCACCCGGGGCGCCCCCGCAGGTGGGCATCTGCTCGCGCTGGGAGTCGTCCACCACCTCCTCTTCCTCCTCCTCCTCCTCCTCTGCTCGCTCCCAGACTCCGGGCTCCGAGTCAAATGAAGGTCAGATCCGCCTCACTGAAAGCTGCGTTAAGGTAGGTCTCGGGGTGGTGGGCGCCCTTTTCGGACACCCCCCGGTCGGCTCCTCCCCATCGCATCTTCCCTTCCTGGCTTCCCTGGACTTCTTCAAGTCCCAACTAAAGTTTCACCTTCCCAAATCCACCTTGACCTTAGTACCTTTTCTCTGAGATAATCTCCAGTTTACCCTGTCTATATCTTGTTTGCATTTGATTGTTTGCATGTTGTCTCCCCATTCGACTGGGAGCTCCTTAAAAGCAGGGACTGTTTTTTTCCTTCTTGTCCCTATCACTTAGTACACAGTGCCTACCACGTAGTAGGCGCTTAATAAATGCCTATCAACCGAAAGCGTTCGAGCCAGGCACTGTACTAAGTGATGGGAATATAATCAAAGGGAAAAAAACCTCAATCCTTATTCTCAGGGAGCTTATACTGGACGGTCATGGATTCCCCTTTTTGCCTTTCCCCCCCTCAGAGGCTTCTGGAGATCACAGAAGAGGCAGAGTTCCTCAGGCTACAAGTGGAGGGAGGTGGATGCTCTGGATTCCAATACAAGTTTTCTCTGGACACAGTTATCAATCCTGATGACAGGCAAGAAAAAAGCAGGGGCTAGGTGGCATAGTGAAGAGGGCAATGGACTTGGAGTCAGGAAGACCCAAGTTAGAAATCTGCCTCAGACATTTACTAGCTGGGACAAGTCACGTAGTCTCTTTCTCTGTGCCTCAGTTTTCTCGTCTATAAAAATGAGAAGGCTTTAAGGTCCCATCCAGCTCTGAAATTATGATTCCATGAGGCACCTTCAAAAACAATATCTTTTCAGAGAGGGGGATATGGGGTGATGATATTTTGAATTTGAATAACATCATTCTTCAGTAGAGTCCTCAATAATTATTCACATTTCTGCAATGTGTAAAGTACTTCATTTACAAAGTACTTCATTATGCTGTTATTTCATTCAAATGGGATGGTATACTAGGGAGAGTTAGAAACTATAGTATTTAAAATAGCTTTTATATATGTATGTACAGCCAGGAACTAGGAATGAATATGTATCTGGATATGAGTGAGCTCTGACAGAGAGTGTCTGATGTTTTTGGTGACGCTTTTTTAATTAATCACTTCTTCATGTTTCCCCAGGGTGTTTGAACAGGGCGGAGCTCGAGTGGTGGTTGACACAGATAGCTTGGCCTTTGTGAAAGGGGCTGTGGTGGACTTCAGCCAAGAGTTGATCCGAAGTTCATTTCAGGTGTTGAACAACCCTCAGGCGGAGCAGGGATGTTCCTGTGGGACTTCGTTCTCCGTCAAACTATAATGTGTGAGATGATGAATGACCCAGAGACTGCTTTCTTCCTCCAGCTTCCAATTCTTGATTCCATGAGAACCATAGACTTCCAGAGTTTTCTCCATTGCTATATTACTTGCTCTATTTCTTATTCCTCAACCCAGGAGTTCTGTATCTTGTCACTCTATATCACAGTGTTTAGTTTTCTTTGTCAACATCAACATGCTTCCAAGAACATCCCACATAACACTTGGTCTCATAGTTAAGTGGATATTTTTCAAGCTCCGGAAACTACTGCCTCAGAACCAGTTGCCTGGAGGCTAAAATATTGACTTTAGCCCCAGAGTTCCAAAATACAGAGATAACAGCCCTGGCCTTCAGAGCTGCTTGTATATATATGTATATTATTAGTGTATATAGTATATAAAGTATTTATTTTTAAAGAAAGTGTTACTTATCTTTCAATCTTTTGAGTCATCAGTAAGAGTTGCCTATGTAATGATTATGAGAACTGGGAAGTCGGGGAGGGAGGATAGATTGGAGAGAGACTTGTGACTTTCCTTCTTTCCCCTCATTCCTGGCAGCTGATTTTTTTTTTTCTTCACCAAGAAAAACTTGGGGTCAATGCTGTGTGACTTTCCTTCTTGACGTGAGCTTATTTTTTCCCTGGAACTCAGTCTCCCTTCTCCCACTTAGCATAAAAGTAAAGAAAACACAAGATGTATTAGTTTGTTCCAAATTACTCACGGTATTGTGTTAGATTCCATAATCAAATGAAAAGTAGATCACAAAAGCAGCTATGCAGATAAAGAAGGACAAAGTTAGTTACTGAACCTTTGACAATTATGTGTTGATTAATGATTAAAGTTTGCCAGTGTGTAGGAATAATGCAGTTTCAACTTAGAAGAAAACTTTTATGGTATCATAAGCAATGGGATGTATTTTCTAGGCACTTTCTGAACCAATGAAAGAAAAGACGTTTAAGTGTCAACTTTTCTGTTATATTACAGTTGGTAAGTACCTAAGTTCATAACATTTTTTGGGTTCTCTGCGGAACAATAAAATATAATCAGCCAATGGTGGATGAAGGGGAAGAGAACAAACTTGATTTCAAAAGTGGGAAAAGGACAGAATCCTTAAACTCTGGCGAGGATCAATTGCCTGATAAGATCTTAAATTAGTAGTCAAATCAGTAGGAGGAGTTTGGATGTAAAATGACTATTCTGTTATTGCCCTTCTGAAAAATCAGATTCGTAACATATATCAGACACCTAGCTGACCAAATACAAAATATTGCTCTTATCCTTAGGAAATGTCATATTAACTAGCTATCCTGTCCTTCATTCTACTTCTGATGGAGAAATGTATGAATGTGAAGCACCTGGTGGCATAGTGGGTGGTACTAAGGGCCTTGATTCAGAAAGATACGTTCAAATCCAGCCTCAGATACTCCTCAGCTGTGTGACCCTAGGCAAGTTACTTAACGTCTGTTACCATTTCCTCAACTGTAAAATGGGAAAATAATAGCACCCACCTCTCAGAGTTGTTGTGACGATCTAGTAAGATAGCAATTGAAATAATTTTGTAAAAAGTGCAGTTGGTTTGTTGGTTGTCCTTTGTTCTTGAAGAGGACCAAAATGACATCACTATGTTGGAGTCAAGTTACAGTATGTCTGACTGACTGATCAGACTAATACTGGCTCTGAGGAGTAGAGAGCAGTGTCACTATGTTCCAGGTTTATTTGCACACTCTAGAATTTCCCAGTAATGCTATACTTATCCCATTTGCTAGGCAGATGTTGGGAAACTAATCAAAACAGAGAGAGTGGCACACCCAACCCTGTGGCACCCCTTTGTTGATTTTCGAGTTGAGCATTCAAATGACTAAATGTTATAATTATTAATAATGTTCTTGTCAGATTTACATATTTGGGATAGGTTGATGTGCTGATAAAGTGGATGATCAAGATAACTTTTCCCATGATTTGGATTGTCATTGACAATGATCCAGAGACTGGTAACTGGTAACAAACCAGGTAACAAAGGGAGTCTAGAGCTTTCCAAATTCAGTATTACCTTCACCACCCTTGCCACCCTTATTGAGCAAGAGCAGCAGAAAGTTACATTGGTGTTCTGAAAAATTAGCCAACCAGAATAGATAAACAAAATCAGTCTGAAATGGGCGTGTGCTTTTAGCTCCTGTGTGGAGCCTAAATGGAAAAACTGACCATAACCCACGTGCACACGAGGTACTCATGGAAAGACTCAGGAGAAGCCCTGCATTCCTATACTATGTACATACATAAGTGTCTGTTTGATGACAATCTGAATTATTGTCAGACTCAGATGAGGTGTTTTAAAGGCTTTCCTTTCACAGCTCCTGGGGGTACTGCCAAGAGTTCCCTTTGGACCACTTGATTATAACCTGAAGATTGAGTCTACCTTAAAGCCCACCAAAGAAAAACAGCTTTTGAGAGCCTGTATCAGATTACATGCCATCCATCTTAGAGAGGGAGGGGGAGAAAATTTGAAAATTCACAATCTTGTGGAAGTGAATGTTGAAAACTAAAATTATTTAAATAAAAAATAAAGATCCCTTTTAAACAACAACAACAAAAAAAGACAACTTTAATGCCTTGCTGGAAGGGCCTGTGTCAGGTGTTACTAACCATTAACAATTCTGTTAAACGATAAAGTCTTCAATCTTGGATCTGAACATCATACTATAAAAGAACTTGAGCCATTTCTGGAGGCTAACAGTTTCTGAGGTAACAGGGCGAAATGACAGCGCTTTGTCAACTGCTCACAACACCACAATCAATGGTATTTGCTATGCTCCAAGGTCTATAACCTTAGGGATAAAAAGACTACTAATTAAGCCCTTAATGTTAGCCTTAACTAATAAATGTCTGGTTTTGCCTGGACCACTGGGAGTTTTCTATAGAAACCAAATTATCATCAAAGAACCACTGATACCAGATTCCACATTTATACTGATCATCTAAAATAATGGATCTTATTGCTAGTTATATGCATCCTAAGGAACAGGAAGAGCATATGCAAAATGAGATCCTAGAATTAATGAATATATGGTGGGTTTCTGAGCACAAATCGGAGGAGGGATGTGGAAGCCAGAGAATCATAGGTCTAGAACTAGAAGGCATCTAAGACTATCAAAGGCAACTCACAATTTTCAGATGAGGAAATTTGAGCCCGGGAGGTTAATGACTTGTCTAAAATCATACATGAAGTAAACTGGGAGATTCTGAAATTAGGTCAGTTAAATCTATCTTATGTATGCCTAGTTATTTGCATGCTGGCTCCCCTCTGAGAATTCTTGCTGACTGGCCTAATTTTTATATATGTTAACAAATGTATAATTGTAAAATATATATGTACATATATGTTATGCTATAGATCGTATACTGTATATTGTAAATGGGAAGTAATCTCAGAAGATAGCCATTATAGATAGAGGACCAAGAAGGTTTCTTTGCAGAAGGTGAGATCTGAGTCGAGCCTCCAGAGAAGCCAGGAAGTGGAGTTCATTCTACACATGAGGGATTGTCAGTGAAAAGGCACTCATGAGATGGAGCGTCATGTATAAAGAATGGCAAGAAGGCCAGTGTTGCTAGATCATAGAGTACATAAAAATAAAGTGTAAGAACTGGAATAAAGTGTAAGAACTGGAAGGATAGCGAAGGTATTTAAAAGCAAAGCAAAGGATTTTGTATTTGACCCTAGAGGTAATTGGGAACAATTGGAATTTATTGATGGGGTAGGGAGTGACATGGTCAGATCTAAACTTTAGGAAGATCAATTTGGCAGCTGAGTGGAAGATGAGCTAGAGTGGAGAGAGACAAATCAGGGAAATCAACCAGAAGGCAACAGTCCATGTGCAAGGTGATGAGGGCCTGCACCAGGGTAGTGCCTGTTTGCAGAGAAAGATGTGAAGATCAATGTGATAAGCCTTGGCAATAGATCGGATAAGTGGAGTGAATTTGAGGAATCAAGGATGAGCTCAAGGTTGTGAGTGTGGATGATTGGGAGGATGGTGTTGCCCTTAACTCGGAAGTTGGAAAGAAGGGAGAGTTTGGGGAAAGAGCAAGAGAAAATGAGGTCAGTTTTGGACATATTGAGTTTGAGATGTCTACAAGACATTCATTGTGTCATGTTCAGAAAGAAGTTGGAGGTGAGAGACTGGAGGTCAGGAGAGAGGTGAGGGCTGGAAAAAATAGACCTAAGGAGCATCTACATGGAAATAATTATTGAACCCATGGAAGCTGGTGAGATCGCTAGCTATAATAGTAGAAAGTTAAAAGAAGAGGGCCTGGGCAGACCGATGGAGACAAGCAAAGTTAGTGGGTATGACCTAGAGGAAGATCCAGCCAAGGAGACTGAGAGACAAAGTTAGACAGGTTTGGGGAGAACCAAGGGAGAACAGTGTCATGAAAGCCTAGAGGGGCCAGAATAACCAGGAGAAGAGAGTGAACCACGGTGTCAGAGATTGCAGAGAGGTCAAGAAGGATGACGACTGAGAAGAGGCCATTAGCTTTGGTGATTAGGAGAACAATTGTCCTTGTAGTGAGCAGTTTCAGTTGAATGATAAGGTCAGAAGCCAAACTGCAGAAGGTTATGAGGAGAGGAAGTGGAGGCACTGATTGTAAATGGCTTTGTAGAGGCTTTTAGCTACAAAAGTAGGAGAACATAGGACAATAAGTAGCTCGAACAAGTGATTTTGTTGTTGCTGTTTATTTCTTTGTTTGGATTTGGGAGGTATGTTTGTAGGCTGTAAGAATAGGAAGAGATTGGAGATAATGATTGAGCTGGGATGATCAAAGAGGTCAGTCTTTTGGAAAAGACGGAATGGAATAGGGTCGAAGGTGTCTGTGGAGTGGTTTGCTTTGACAGGAAGGGCCCATTCTTTGTGTGAGACAGAAATGAAGGAGGAAATAGCTGGGGAAGGCATCTGAGTCATGTGAGATGAAAGGGGAGCAGGTGAAGAGTGAATGGCCTTAAGTTTTTCAGTGAAGTATGAGGTATGGTCCTTTGTTGAAAGGGTAGTAGAAGGGGTGCTATGGGAGGTTGACTGGATGGAAAGTTTGGAATGGTTTCTGTGGCTAGTGGGATAATGACTCCATGAGGGAGATGTAAAAGGCTTGCCTTGCTACAGGAAGGGTCCAGTTATTTGTTTTTCTATAACATTAGCCTCCAGAGACATTGTTTTTTCTACTATGCCATACTACCTCCCTTAGTGCTTGTGGCACAAAACTTTCACCATATTATAAAAGATAAGAATTTATGGTGAGACAGAGTCCTTGGTCTCACTTGAATGGAAAGCATAGGTTCCCAAAGTGAGTGATACCACCCCCTCAGGGGCACTGGAATTATTGGAGTCTGAAGTGAGGGTGGGGAGGTGGGGAGGGTGGTAGTAGCACCAGATGTGA